TTCGGATACTGCTCTATCTCCCGAAGCCAAAAATGAGGAAATTCCCACAAATATTGAAGGTGAACAACAATCTCCAAAGACTGAAGAAAGCGATGGTAATTAATAATGACCATAGGTAAATTTATAATTCTTTTCCCCTATTCTTTTGTTTGAGTGAAGTGGAACTAGAGGTATTGTCCAGTTTATTGATTTATGTAGACCACAGGAGAAAAAGAAAATGGGACTAATTTTTTACCTAATGTAAGAAATATTCTTTGGATTGCATTGATTATGCTGAATAATGCAAGATGGGAAGAAAAAAAATTATAACATGAGCCTTCCTTGTATTTTTCTTAATGACAATTTTCAATTGAAGCACATCTCCCTGTGGCAGTGTAAGCAAATGTTGCTTCTAGAAGTTATTTAAATTATTGTCATCTAAAACTTTGGTTTTTGTACAAGAAAAGCTATTAACATCCGAAGTTTAATTCAATTGCTTTATATAATTATCTATAAGAGATAATATTTAATAGATTTAAAATTTAAAATTTTAATACCTCTCATGTATATAAAACAATAGAGATATTATATGACATAAAACAATAGACATGTTATACTGAGACCTCTCATGTATATAAAACAATAGAGATATTTATAATATATAGGAAAAAAATGTTTAGCTTAAAATTTATCTGTTGTCATTTGAAGCAAAGATGGAATGAAAAGAATAAAGCTTACATGACACAATCTTGGCCATCAGCAGCAGAAGGAACAGAATTTTCTTGTTCTGCTACAAGCATAAGCATCTCTAGGCGCTTATCAAAAAGTAAAGTGCTCTCTTCTCTCTGGTCAAGCTCAGCACCTTCAACTTCAAGCCATTTTTCTCGAAGATCATCCAGAAGATTGGCTTGGCCTGTATTAATCACAGCTCCCAGGGCACTTGGAACAGTAGTCTGGAGTGAGGAATCTCCAGGTGGGGGCTGGAGTGTCAAAAGCATTGCTCCTGACTCATATGTGTCAGCAAATATCTCGAAGTTGCAAGCAATGGGATCTAGACAATACTCTCGTATCTTCAAAACACCGTACCTACACATTTGAATTGAAATAAAAAGGCTTTGTGGTCAAAACTACAAGCCCAAGACTGATAATGACATTAGCTGATCTGATCAATGGCTACAAAAGTTTTGATAAAGAAATGACCTTAAAATCGTTTCCGATTCATTATCAAATCTTTCGGATCATATCTGCCTCCTGGTCGAGTTTGCATGCATAGCCTATTTAACATGGAGGATGATATATCAGTTCTATGAGATAATGTCAGAATCTGAATAGCCGACAAACTACAAAGCAATTGCCGAAACATTTTCAGGCTAAGTAAATGCTACTGTCTTTGCCTATCACGAATCTACAACTCCCAAAGCTCCATTCAACAATCAACAAAATCACATTTCACATTTCGTTACTTTATTTTCATTGTAATAACACACAAGTATAAATTCCATTCCCAAGGCCAGAAAACAAATCCAACTTAAAGTTAACACATTTAAATGATGACTAATAAAATAAGGCATTGATCTCATGCTTCAGATTTGAGAGGAAAATAAAAGGTAGATATACCAAACATGTCAGACAATATCAGCCAATGGCACAATTCTGCTGGTGAGACCATCTCTAGTTGTGGCGGTAGTACATCAGCTACAGCACGCTTAAGAGGAAATAACAGATATCGTGAAGCAGCATCAAACATTTCCTCTGCCAGGTCATTAGAACAGCTAATTTTAGATAGCTATTCAAATGATGTCCATGAGCCACTTACATTAAAAAAAAGAAAAACATAATACCTGATCGGGATCTATATCTGTCAAACCATCAGTGTACCTTAAGCAATCATGGAGCTATAATAAGTTCCATGACAAGTTCTTAAAAGATGAGAAAGTGAATATCGACTTTACACATAATGGTTCCAATAACTAGAGCATGCTTGATCATGCCTCAAAGAATATTAGGTAACAGATTATAATTTTTTTGGGAACAGATATTGCATTACTTTTCCAACATGATCTGTTCTGAGATAGCTTAGAGACCCATACGGGTAGCAATAATGTTCCAACCACAGGACTAATTCATAAATAGTTAAGTATTATCTTCAAAAACAATCCAAAATTAAGCTACGGTACTGAAAAAAAAAAAGTTAGAAAGAAAAACAAAAAAGCTTACATATACTCAATCATTTTTTCAAATGCCTCAGCACTCAAATCATGTTCTTCAAGACATGGGAGGGTAACACTAGGTAACTCATCTTTCCCTTCGTGAAAATCTTTCATACGAGACAATCTTGCTTTAAAATATTCTGATCTTGATGTTAAAACAACTTGATGGCAACTAAAAAACCTTTTGTCAACTCTTATACAAATATCTGCAAGATCATCCAGATAGTCACTTATCCGCATTGACCAACACAAGGCAGTAATCTATCAACACCATTCTCTAGATTGATTTCCTTTGGAGACTTTGCTAGGGAAATTTTAAGGATCTGATGCAAGGCAGCAGGAAGCCGGTCTTCCTCAGGGAGGGAAATGCCTTGTAAAATAAACCGTTTTTGAGAGTTATCTGCATCTCTCAGTGCTTTATATTCAGCATATTTTTGGTGAATTAGTTCTTTCTCTTGAACCCTTTGCAACGATTCACATTTGCATACTTTACAAATTCTCACAAGATCTTCCATATCATCTATAGCAACCTCTACTCTGTCAGACTAAAAGAAGTGGATGAGGCTGTAGAGAACAGGATAAGACAACTTTTCTCGTGAAAATCTTACTTCATTGTGATCTTTCAAATCTGTTTCAAACTTTCTCCTAAAAAATGGTGACCTGGCACTTAAAATAACTCTGTGAGCTTCAATGGGTCTGCCTTGCACAAAAAATACAACATTTGGGGGGAAATGATAGGAGCTTGATACCCCATTGGATGCAAAACCTGGTTGAATATTACATATTAGGTGTCAGATTCTTACATGTATATCGTTCTTAGAAGAACAATACTTGCAACCACAATGAGCAGATATTTTGAGACCCAATAGAGCATCAAATGCAACAATTTCAAGTTTCATGCCATTGACTTAAGATTTCATCAAAGATTTCAGTGTTCCACTATATTGTGATATTCATACCAGCAAAGCCTTCACAAATGATAGAAAGTAAATATATGAGAAGCAAAAATGCTCTTTCAAAGCTAACTGTCACATTTTCTTCATTAAGAAAATAGGTTGCCCCATGAATAAATATAATGAAATTCTGGAAAAAAAAAAAAAGGTCTAAAAGCACAGTTGTGCAAATTGATTTATTGATTTATAGATTTGACTAGAAACAATTAACATGGGCTGATAGAACTTATGTCATATCGCCAGACCCCAAGACTGGAAAATCAAGAAGATGGGAGCTCCTATTCCCAATCTTGATGCTAATTTAATTAGCCGGTGGCCTTAAACCAATCTTCTCTCTTCTCCAACATCATGTTTGAATTGATAGAAATGAAGAGAAGATAAGTGAAATGATAGAAATTACTCTTACTTAGATAGCAAAACCAAAAACAGGGTAGAAAGAACAGAGGGGCAACTCTTATTCACAATCTTGAAATAGTTTAATAACTAGAAATGAGAAATAATACTAGCAATTCAATTCCTTGTAATTTTGTATATACATCCCTTGAAGTCCTGAGCAAAATATTGACAAAAAAATCTCTAGTCATTACATTATCTCATTTCTAAGCATCAATCTGTATCCAATCCAAATAATTAGAAAGGAATTACCTTTCATCTTATAAATCACTTCTACCTTTCAAGCCTTTGCCTTTCCCCTCTCTTCTATCAATCCAAACACTATAAATCATAATTTTTCACTTTACATTGAGTTTTTTAACAGTAATCCCCGATGTTATCAAACGCCACTTGATTAACATCAATCATCAAGCAATTCCAAAGTTAGAAAACAGAAATACTACTAGCATTGGTCAAGCTGCATTGCACCACTAAATAAGATCAATAATCAAGGTTTAATGAAGTATCAACAGATTGCTCCAAATAAACCCAAGTGAAAAATTCAATTAAAAAGAAGCAAATTGACCTGAAACCTGGAAATGTAATCCACTCTCAGCAGCCTGGTCGAGAAAAGCCCGATTAGCCCCACAGCTCAAGAAAGTGTCCCTGAGGGCACCCTGCAACGGCCCAAGAGGCGGCGGACGGGCCTCGAAAGCCTTGAGAAGTTTCCGAACCTTTAAGTTAAAATCAGCATAGTGGCACCTGTCCCCGTCAAAGGTATGTTCGGAGCAGATGGCTCCATTCTCCAGTAACATACGGCCGGCATCCAAGTGGCCAGCTAAGCAAGAGTAATACAAGGCGACGGAGTCCCAGTTATCACGTGCGTTAACGTTGACGCCGGAGTCGAGGAGGTAACGGAGGCGGTGAAGTCAGAGACATCGAGGTCGATGACGTCGAGGTCGGGAGAGATGGTCCAAGAGGAGTAACGAGGTGGAGCTGGGGGCTTTAGTTTGGGTGGATGGTCTTCGGTTTCGACGTTGGGTCGGGGCCTCGGGGAAAGAGTCTTACGGCGGTTCGCTTGGATTTTGAGCTTTAAGACGTTGCATTTGAATTTCCTACAAACCGGGTGTTTGTCCTAACGCTGTTCTTTCCATAACCAACTTTTACTTTGTTTTTTTTTTTTTTTTAATTTGAAGGTTCTAAAAATAGTAGCATTTTTAACCAATTTTTGTAATAGACAAGTAAGCATGATATTTTTGGGGGTATATCAGTGTAATTAATTATAATTTAATGAGATTTATAAAAAAAAAAAAAAAGGTCAAATTTACATTTTAAAATTATAAATTTTTTATAATTGATTAATTATAATATTATAAAAAAAAAAGCGATACGATCCCAATCTTTTACTTAAAAAATTAAAAAATATATTTCACGGAATACACTTGTCAGAAAATCATAGGATCAGTAACTACAAAGTCAATGAAAGAAGACCAGCTCATCATAAAACTTTAAACTATTCCGTAGAGGATAATAAATAGCTGGTTGCTTGCCAAAAACGTTTCAGGTCGCCTGCTTTTGCTTCTTGTACCTTTGAAAACACACCTCTCACATTTTCAGCAACTAAGCGTGTTACTAATACCATACAGCCGTCCACTTCTCCAACATTTTTCCAAAGTTTCTTCCTCTCCAAACAAGTTTTTAAGGTTTCATTTTTCACTTGAAAATTCAACGTCTCTGTCCTCCTCCATCTCTCATTTCAAACCCTCACGTACGTGTTTGTTTTTTCGTAAAAGAATTTTAAGGTTTTTGTGATCTCACCCCAATTTTTTTGTAAGTTTCGTTTTTTATTGTTAATGTATATGCATCATTGTTTGTTTTTGATTGTTAAGAAAGTAAAAAGGAAAATGAGTAATGGGTTTTGATGGTTTAAGCTTTGTTTGGAACTCAAGAAAGCAACTTTTCTTCACCTTTAGAATATCTAGGAAAATACTCGTATTTATGTTAAAATGTTATGGGGTTTGATTTTTGTAATTTACACACTTTTATAGCGTATAGTGGAAGAATTTATAGGTCTAATTTATTTCAACTTTTCCTTTGCATTATATTAGCACTATTTTCACTATTTTCTCTTGCTTAATCAAGTAAAACAATTATCAGTGGCACTAATGGTGCCTTAATATTCAATTTGCAGATACGTCTTGTTTGTTTGTTTAAATGTATGTTAATGATTTTAATGCAGGTTTGTTCTTTTTTTCAGATATGTAATGTCATCCTCTGACGAAGAAGGTGAGATTTTGCCACAAATCCATGTCTCAGAATATGCTTTTGTTGATCAAACCGGTTCACCAATTTCATTTGCTGTTTTGCCTCTCCAATGGAGTGAAAATGAGGTCATTGGTGAGCTTAAAACTGATGTTTTCTTACACGGGGATGCTGACAATGGGCTTCAGAAGATTTACAAGCAAGTTGTTCTATGGAAGTTCGAGCTATCCTATGCACTGCCTGAAATTTTGGTGCTCTCTAAGGACAAGAAATGGATGACACTCCAAAAGCCTAGGAAGAGTTTTAAAAGCACTATTACGACAATCCTGATCGCCATTCATTGGATGCATTATATGAAAAAAAACATAGACGCATCCACAAAATCTGTATGGAGCCACTTGCGAAAAGTATTAAGGTAGCTCCTCATTCTATTGTTCTGATTGTTGCACAAAATTTCAATTTTGTTGTTTCAATTTATTTTTGGTTAGTTAATTTTCACAAAGGGTGGTTTAGAATTGTGTGTAATTGTGTTCATATTACTTATTTTGTGTATCGTGCAGCTTAAATGAGTTTGAGGCTTCTAAGAATGACCTCTTGCATCACAAGCTGTTAATTGGTGAAGCTGTGAAAAGGGATAAAGACTTAGCAAAGTCTAAGGTTTGTGCTACCATGGGCTTATCTCTCTGTCTCATGTCATGACAATAATATCTCATTGGGTTTATATGCATAATAAAATTACCAAAGTGATTACACTGTAACTAATCTGTTGAAATCCATATATGCATGGTTATCTCATACTTATCTCTCAAGTCATCAATTAGGGGATATAGCTTAAGATTAAATACACCAGTTCTTGGACCTAAAGTTATGATTTTGAGCAAAAAGAAAGAAGCCATTAGTTTCTAGTTGCAAAATCTCATCAATTAAATGATGCAGTTTTTCTCTGTTATCTCTTTTTCTTTTATTGGCTACTTGTCTTGAATAGCTATAACTGCTGGAACAAGCATGTTGATATTTGTCTAGTTCATCAAAAGCTAAAGAGTTTTAGCTGTGTCAAAGTTTCACTTTGTTAGAACATATAGATCTTGGAAACATATTTAGTTGCTTTTAATTTTGGGGAATCTATTTTGGCTGGGTGACGGAATTTGTTTTTCCTGGTGAAATTGCCATCCATTGCAGCGTGGTTCAATGTGCAATACTATTACTCGACCAAGAGTTGCTATATAAATAAGATTTAGGATTCAATGCAAATAGGATTGATAAAGCTTGTTCTCTTACCTCTTTGCAATTTCTTTTCTTGTTGAATAATTCTCTTTTGTGAGGTTAAGCTGCTATTATTACCTATAACCGCCTAATCTTTGTTCCTTTCTAAATGCAAATGCATACTACACTTTCCCAGTTAGAACTTGTCAGCTATTCTCAAATCATCTTTTTCTTAACAAATTTAGCAAGTTACTTCTAACATATTTGTATACTGTTATTTGTATTATAGGTCTGCCTGTATCTCCAACCTCTACAAGCACATATATACATGCCATCTTCTGCAATTAATTTGTCTGACTCACATGCTCTAATAAGTATGCGCATGAAGAATCTGATATATGGAAACTGATAAACAATTTATCTGGAACAGAATGTGCTTAACTTTGTGGAGATGCCTCAGACAAATACAACTTTTCATCAGGTCTGCAAACATGTTATTCTTAGCTCGTGGACTAATTCTTTTACCTGCTTTTGCCCTTTATTTTAAGTCTTCTATTTTTCCTTTTCCCCACTGTACTGAAGAAATTGGCCCTGATTTAACAGGATGTCCATACACCCAGGAAAAGTAACTTTATAGTTGATGAAGATTTAGAAGAAGATTACAATGATGAAGATGACATAGGTGAAGAAGTGGATAGTGTGGGGAAGCCCATTTTTGATCCTGTCTGTGCCATTTGTGATAATGGCGGCAATGTTCTTTGGTATGCCCTAACATTTTGGTTCTAGAAATTGTTATGAAACTTTTTTGGTTTTTTAATTTTTTCCAGACCTTTAACTGGCCTTTTTTTTGGTGATTTATGTACATATCATGGATGGTTAGTAGCCAGTTGCTTTGTCGTTCCTTGAGAAACTAATAAAATTTTTGGGTTCACTTGGAATACCAGGTGGCTTTCTGAAATGTAAATCAATACACTTTGTATATAAGATTTTGGGATGGTAGCAGGATTTGAACCAATGGATCAACCCTTTTGCCGTAAAATAGTGTTGAGAGCAAGGAGAATACTGGAAACTTTAGAAAGAAAGACGTGACTATGCTGATGTTGATCATCAGCTTTGATAATGATAATTCATAGACAGCCACATATTTTGGTTTCATTATAAAGATGAGAAGTATAACTTGAGATTGACTTTTAAGTCATGAAGATGTAAGGCTTGTCTAAATGATATGCATATTTTCAGGAAATTATAGAGTAATATATTCTTTTTGGTTCAATGAATAATGGACTTTTAATTAATTAGTCAAAATTTAATTTTTTTTAATTTTAAAACATTTCTTTCATTGTAGTGCTAGATTTATTTATTGAGAAAATTCCTTTCATTTGCATTTTCACAGTGATGGAATATTAAAAATTGCTTCTTACAAACTAATAGGTAATGGCTTCCTAGTGAAAAATGCTATTTCTGATCTTGAGTTGGACTTTCATCTCATTTGGAAGATCACTGAAACTAGGGTTCACGAGCCACCAGAAAACAATAGGAGAGACACATTCATGTCCTTGGATTTTGTATATTTGCTATTTAGATGGCTTCCATATTTGATGTGCTCTTATTGTTAGTTCATGAATTATACTTTGAGCAATTTTTTTCTTTTTATAATGTGCCTTATTTTTGTCATATTAATGACCTTAGAACAGTTTAAGTTTCCTAGGTTTGTCTTTTCTTGAGGTTCACATGTGAGTTTGGTTGTCCAACATTGGGTAGTTTTAGGATGTGAAAGAGACATATATACATGAAAGACCTGAGAAACCATTAACTTAGGCTTTTGGATTCAAGTGTATCCAACATGTATACATGGGCCCTTTTGGCATGTTCCTATGCGCTCAAGGTCTGGCTTCTCTTCTTCATCTTTGCTTGCCTAGACAATAATTTGTTAATTGACTTTGGTTCTTTTTGTTTGTTTGGATTTGATATAGCTGTGAAGGAAGGTGCCTGAGGTCATTTCACCCAACAAAAGCTGATGGGATTGATTCTTTCTGTGAATCTCTTGGCTTTGTCAATGATGCTCAACTTGATGTATGAGCATCTTTATTTTCCTAAATATATGATTCTCTGGTAAATTTTCTAGTAACTTGTATAATGTTGCCATGCTTTGTATATCTGTAGGCTATTCCATCCTTCTTGTGTAAAAATTGTCTATATAAGCAGCATCAGTGTTATGCATGTGGTGAATTAGGCTCCTCTGACAATTCTTCTGGTCAAGAGGTAAGTTTTATCGTGCTTTTGGAATCAAAAGATTGTTAAAACAATTATTTAAAAGTCTTGCTCTTGGATTGAGGATGACTTTTTGTTGTTTTTCACCATTGACTAAGTTTTTCATAGACTACATTATTATTGTTACATTTAAACATTGCAAGTGTTATTTTCTTGTCCACTTAAATCATTTTACTGCCATCCACGCTGGCAATCATTTTAAAGTAGATGCCAGGTGTGTTGATAACTGCAGTTTAAATTTGAACTATCATTGATCAATTTTTTTTTGGGGGGCTTTTCTTCAAGGTTTTTCCTTGTGTTTCTGCAACTTGTGGGCATTTCTATCATCCAAAATGTGTTGCGAAATTGCTTCACGCCGACAATGAAGCTGAGGCAGGAAGGCTTAGAGAGAAAATTGCTGCAGGGGATTCATTTACGTGTCCCATCCATAAATGCTTTGCTTGTAAGCGAAATGAAGATGCAGAGGTTCATGATTTGCAGTTTGCTCTTTGTAGGCGTTGCCCTAAGGCATACCACAGGAAATGTTTACCCAAGTACACTAAGCCACTATTTTCAGCTTTGTAGAACCTCTTTACCAAGACTTGATGCCTAGAAAGAAGGTTGACTTCATCTAAAGCTTTTGCTTTGATTTCAGGAATATTTGCTTTCAATATGATATGTACAAAATTGGTTTACAAAGGGCGTGGGAGGGTCTCTTGCCATATAACCGGATTCTAATATACTGCATGTAAGTTTTATTTTATGGTTTGCCCATTTGGATAAACTTGTTATTGAACTTATTTGTCAATGGCCATATTGCTGCTAAATGTGCTGACCAGGGAGCATAAGATCATCAGAGAGCTTGAAACGCCAAGCAGAGACCACTTGATATTTCCCAATCTTGAAGTCAAAGAAAAGAAACACGAAGTGAAGTTGCTATCTTATAGAGGAAAGAATTTGGCCTCAAAGAGAAGTGAGGTTTCTGAAGATGTTGCGAAAAGTAGAAATCTTTTGAAGAAGCCAAAACTGGTTCAAAAGGCCTATGGTGACATTCAAGCTGGAGCTTCTAGTAAGAGAATTGAGAAACACTGTTTGCGACCAGAATTTTCTCCTTTGAATAAACCAAATACATGTATCACTGGTAGAAAGTTCCTGAAGCAGGATGCCAGCTCTGACTTTGATAGGTTTCTTGCAAGAGAGAAAAACAAGCTAACCCAGACAAAAGGTAACTTAAAAGTGAAGTTGCAATTCCATGGAACTATGTCCAAGCAGTCAGAAGAAACTTGCTTTAAAACCAAGAATACCAATCAAAATATGCAAGTGATGAAGAAAATGGAAAGCACAAGGCCTTTAATTGATTCAGAACTAGAGAAAGGGTAATTTACTCACTTTTTTTTTGTAATCTGAACCTTACTATTTATTTTTCGCTGAAAAAATTCAGGATGCTGAAGCACTTTTTGGTTTTGGATTCACATTTTTTTATTAACAGAATTTTGGTTCTCATGGAAAATGCTGATTCTTCATTTAATGCTGAGGAATTCATGAAAAATCAGCGGCAAATCTCTGCTGCAAATGCATGTAGCTTTAGGAGTGTAGTGGACAAGACCATTACATTGGGCAGGGTGGAAGCCTCTGTTAAGGTATATCTTACTATTTTCTTGTTAAGTGTGGCTGATAAAGTAGTTTGAGATGGCTAGATTCTTTTTCTTGACATTTATGCAAACCATTGCTTTAGGCTGTTAGAACTGCCTTAGAGAAGTTAAAAGCAGGAGGTTCTCTTGAGGATGCGAAAACTGTTTGCGGTCCAGAGGTGCTCAAGCAGATATTCAAGTGGAAGGTTTTGATCCATTTTTCCTTTAGGTGTATCTATTTGTGTTTAGGACTGCACATTCACATTAAACTTTGATGCTGGAAAATTCTGGTTTTATGTTTCATGTTAGGATTTTATAGGTGCTTGCTTCTTAAACTGTAAAGAACTCCTATCTCAGCTTCAATTGGTCAAATTGGGTACCTTTTTTTTTCCATCGTCATTTCAAAACTTTGTTCCTTTATCATCTGATGCATCTTTCTGCGTCTGGCACAAAGTACCATTTAACATTCCAAGCAAAATGGTAAAGAGAAAAGCAGTCTGAAGCTGAGCGCTGTTGGGTTTACTATATCTTTATGATAATAATTTCACATTTAATATAAATGAATAACTAGCTTACTCACATGCCTAATTGGTTAATTTAACATCCTAGGATAATTTATCATCAGGACTTCTACAAGTCCTTATGCTGCCATTTCTTTTGATTATTTGTATTATATTCTTTTTGAATAACTTGTTTGCATTGACAGAAGTTCTAATCATTTTTAGGAAGAGTCCTTATGGTTGTTAGCTGCTTATATCTTTTTCCCAAGCTATATGTTGTGTATGATGTTAATAAATTCAATTATAAAATGCAGAATCATTGTGGATAATGTATTAAACTTACCACCAAAAGATTGTTTGCCAGGCTAAGTGGCCATATGTTGAATTCTACAGGAGAATCTTGCTGTTTATCTTGGACCTTTTCTCCATGGGATGCGGTATACATCTTTTGGTCGCCATTTCACAAAAGTGGAGAAGCTTAAAGAGGTATTAATGTTTATCTTCTTATTTCTAAGCATTTGAATTAAAGATAAGAGTTGACTTCCTTCTAAGAACTAAACTAATTGTTAGAACAACATTGCTAGCTACTATATTAAAGTTCCAGTCACTTTCAAAACCTCAACCCAGAAGAAAACAACACAGCATGGTAGACTTATATTTTATTGATGAATAAATGTGGCAGTAAGTTAATGAAGTTCTTAGGAACTAATCCCAACTAAAACATGATAGGAAAGTAAGGGTTTTTTTTTTTTAATTTTTTCATGATTTTCCAGTTATTATACTGCTTTAAGAGGCCCTTTATACATAAAGGTGCAATAGAACATTTTCCCTTGCAACTGTAAAACAAAAAAGTGTGAGCCCACAAACAATGATTGTACTTCTATCAATGGCATAGAGAATCACTTCACTATAAGGCTACTTCTCTAGGTTTTCACTTAAATTTACTATGCAAATATATTGTGGTTCAGTTCTGTACTTGCACCCTCCATGAATATCTAGATGCTTGGTTGATCTATAGGGTGGAGCTAATAGCATTTGTTTATTCTGTAGATAGTTGATAGGCTCCATTGGTATGTGCAAGATGGTGACACTGTAAGACTATTCTTCTCTGTTTTTCTTAGTTCACTTCAAGAAATTGTCTCATTATCGCACATAATGTATGATTTTCTTGTGAAAAGCATAACATAATGGGCACAGCTACATTGTTCTTTAAAGCTTAAAGGAAAATTCTACTGTGATCTTACATCTTGTATCTGCAATAGTCATTGTCTATCTTTTTGCATGCTTCAACGTGTATCACTGGAAGCAATTCATGGAATTCTCACATTGTTTTGATTGCACTTCTAGTTTTCTTGTTAGTTCAAAACTAGTTTAGAGTTGCAGGGGCACAAAGTTTTCAAAAGGTTTGGAATATCTATGCTCGTAGGCATTCTGTAGTTTAGGGTTACTTGGGGGCATTAATTTATGCTGAAGTGATGTGTAAGCATCATGTATCGGAATGTGAAATTGGCAATGCAATGACTTTGATTAGAAATTCACTTGCCTATCTTCTTCTCATTCACACTTGTTATTGGTAATGCAATGACTTTGATTAGGTAAAAGATGCCACTGACTTGAAATTAAAAATGCTCAGATGACCCTGAATAGTGAATTGTCATTCAATTAGCATAGGCTTATTTAGGATATATTTGGAGGTCACAAAAATGGCTTAAGAAGCAAGATCCTGTTTCAGTTTTTTTTTTTTTTTTCGTTTCCCTTCCTAATTATGACATGGTATTGATTCGTTCTCGTTACTGGATTTTCGTTTTATATTTATCATGGATAGTATTATCATGGTCATCTTATCTATGCATGAATTCTACTTGAACAGATGGTCGACTTCTGCTGTGGTTCCAATGATTTCAGTTGTTTATTAAAAGAGAAGCTAGAGAAAGTGGGGAAGTCATGCTTATTTAAAAATTATGATCTTTTTCAGCCAAAGGTACTGTTATCATTTCTTGCATCTGATGTCCTTTTGATTGATAATACTTTTTGGTATGTGTTGTTTGTTTTTAAAAGTTTTGAAGGCTCAGTTACAACTTGAAGTTCATGAGGAATTGTTTCTAATTAACATTGTTGTATCCATTCAATAAAAATATTTTAAATTTCCATCCCCTTCATGCAGATGAATATCATTTAATCTGCAAACTAAGTTCTAAGAATCTTTTTGATAGAAGGCAAAGCAGTTTCCTTTTCTTTATCTACAATCTTTCTCAATCATATATATTGATTTTGAGGTTCTTCTGTTTTCACCATCCTTTTTGTCTTTACTGGGAAAACCTTTGATTCTGTAAAAGATTTAGCATAAATTATCTTTGAAATGTTCAATGTCAATTAAGGTTCTTGTGTCAAGCCTAAAGGGTTGAAAGTAAAAGCACAAGGGTTAGATAAACTCCCTCTATATATAAGATATTTTTCTTTCAAAGAATTGGTCATCTTTTTTATACAAGTTCACCTATAAATTTTATTTTAGTTAAAAATAGTTTACTGACAACATTGAACACCTTTTGTTTCATTTTTTTTGTTGGGTTTATGAGCAGATATAAGCCAAACTTCACATTTCCCAATTTTTAACTGGAGATCTCTAATGTGAATGAGGTGCTACTGTATCATCCAAATCAAAGGATTTTAAGCATTAACACCCTGTAACATTTCCAAACTCTGTAGTAATTGTAGTTTTACTAGTTTGTTGTTTATGTACTCAAATTAGATGAACATGCTCTTAACTTCAGCATATATTTTCAACTACTGTATGAGTAATTAGCAGTATGCCATCATTATGGGCCATATTCGGATTGAGTTGCTACCATTGTTTTTAACTCTAAACTGAAAGAGGGAGTTCTGAGGAACGTGTGAAAGTAACTACAGAACTCCTGATGTGGTCTGAGTGTAAAGGATTCTGATGATGTAGGACAAGCTGTAAAATGGTAAACTTCTAAGTTATGGCGATTGTTGTATTGCAATAGTGTGAATGTTGACTGCTTTGGGTTGGCTCCCAGTTTCTGCAAGAATCATGACTAAAACATGTGCTTGGTTGATCATTTCCTGTGGCCACCCATAGGCCTCTTACAATGGAGCCTGTCCTAAAACTACTGTTTTTTTAACAATGATGTTATATAATCAGCATTGATTTGTGTTGTTTTACTTCCCTTAACATCTGAAACAGTTGAAAGCAGGTTGTTGCAGTTCTATTTTCTTCTTTTTCCCTTTTCCGATTGCTTCTCCAGTCTTGCCACGGTATGCCATTTTGAGGGTTCCACAATCCTTCTCTTTTGCAGAATGATTTTAATTTTGAAAAGAGAGATTGGATGAGTGTCAACTTGGACGAATTACCTGATGGTTCTAAACTGGTAAGAAACTTAAAAAAGGATTAAACAAATTGACAGAGATGTTGCATGAGCTTCACTTCTCTCTTTCTCTCTTCGATATTCTTGTTTTAACATTACAATTAGATTATGGGGCTGAACCCCCCTTTTGGGGTCAAGGCATCTCGTGCTAACAAGTTCATTGACAAGGCTCTTAAGTTCAGACCAAAGGTTATTATTCTTATTGTTCCAAAGGAAACCAGAAGGTAAGCGCTTCCCTTACTTCTTTATTCTAATTGTTTAAAATTTTAAAGAAAAATGATTTTGCTCTCTCTCTTGCTTTTGCATTTTAACAGACTTGATGAAAAAGAGGCATATGATTTGATTTGGGAGGATGACAGAATTCTATCTGGCAAGGTACGTAAGGTTTTTAGTTACTTTCTTGCTACTTCTCACTGATCTTTAGATATAATTGTACTTTTTGCATTGCTCATCATGCATTTTGTTTTTCTTGTTTATTTCCAGTCATTTTACCTCCCAGGTTCAGTTGATGTAAATGACAAGCAGATGGAGCAATGGAATGTGAAGCCACCACCGCTTTATCTTTGGAGTCGCAATGATTGGACAGCCAGGCACAAGGCAATAGCACAAGAGCATGGTCACGCATATTATGGGCTGGAAGAGATGCATGGAAATGAAGACAATGGCAAAGAAGTTGGATTTAATTATCTTATGCAGGAGAAACATGATTGTTATGGTGATTTCTCCAAAGACATTTATGCTTGTGGAGGTATTTCCAGCATATTTGATGGTGTTCCTGATGGATTTGAATCTGAAGGAAGCAGAGGAACTATACATGGAAAACACATGTAATGCCACTTTCCTGGAAGCAGTAGTAATTGGAAGAATAATGACTTGACAAAACAAATTCGTGAGGATGTACTTGAGATGCGACATGAGGGACATAGCCACAGAGATACATTGATAACTTCAGAAGCCGATGACACGTGCATCGACATAGAAACATCATCTCCAGACGATAGACCCGGAGATTCTGAGGCTACTGGAACTGAAGGCGGAGGTGGGGGCTTCAAGAACCGCGGAAAAGGCCCTTTATAATCTAGAGGAGTAAAACTTTGATGGTTTATTCATTATTTATAATCTATAAAGGTAATCTATCTATATAGTTTATAAAAGCACATATATTAATGGAACTTCTGATTTACTAAAATAAGCTTCATTATTAACTATATTTTTAAATTGTTATTTTAAATATTAATAAGATTTATTCAGTTTATGATTAAAAATATTAATTTATAATGAAAGATTCTCATTAAGTTGATTTATTTGATAAAAAAACAAATTTGAACCTGGAATTGTATTACTTGTAGAGTTCTAGTTTGCATTACTGTTGAAAAGAATGGTTAATATCCAATTTATGGTAAAAATTCTAATCTCATTAAAAGACTTTCATTAAGGATTTATTTAATAGATAAAAAAGTGTTATAAGTTTATGTTAAATTAGATTATCTACCCCACCATTCAATAAATTTCTAATTCATTGGAGACCTGAAGAATGATCTATAACGAACTCTAAACTTTTTTCTTAAAAATATCAGTCAACGAACCGTAACAAAACCCAAGAATTGAAGTACGTTTTTTTATTGGCCAAAAAAAGTACTTTGTTTATAACTAAACTTAGAAACCAAAGTGAATCCAAATATTGAACTATTTGAGCCCATAATTCCCTCAAAGAAGTTTGGTGTTGTTACAAACCAAGGATTGATTGCCTTCACAAAACTTTACAGCTATCCTCCTTTTTTTTTTTAACAAACTTTACAGCTTTCGAATTGAGGTTTATTGGTTTGTTTAAATGTTTCACGAAGTAGGTGAAAAATGTTGAAAAGAAGTTTACAGGAATAAAAAAAAATTAACATCGTGATGGAAGATGCTGACATTACATTCCATTGGAGGTCTGTCAATCAATTGCATAGAAAAGGATGGGAGACAGAGCAAATCATTTCTTTCTTCTTCCTCTTCCATCTCTATTTTTCTTGTATATATAAATAACCAAGAAGAATATGAACTTTATTTCATTTCCTTACCTACTCTCCTTCGCTTTACAAGGAATAGTTGGCAATTGTTTAAAACTTTTAATAGAGAAAAAGGGGTTAAACTTGTTTAGAGTAACCTTAGAAACATTTTGAGAAGCAGCCAATGGCAAATAAAATCACTGGGCACACAAAATTCAACAGTGCCCAGACTGATTTGCAAAGTAACTTCAGCTGTGTAGTCTGTATGGATTCAAAATTTACATTTTATCACCTACAACATCCTGGGAAAAAAAAAAACACTCTTTACCTGGTCCTTGGCAGAGTGAATATAAGGCATTAAATTCATGTTCTTCTACATACAGAAAGCGGGTCGATTGTAAGATGTTTGATCTACAACTTGGTCTGCTCACAATAATTGTTATTTGTCATCAGCTCTGAGAGAGTTTAGTCTTCTCAATCTCTGATCAAGTTCTTTCATTACTTCTGGTTCTTGCTTTTTCCTTTGCTTTGATATAGTGTTCGTCGTCATAAAACCGATCTTATCAAATGCAACCTGTAGAGATATAGTGAAGGTTGCATTTCATAGCAGAATGTTCGGATTACATACACCAAGTCCATACTCATAAAACATCAAGATCCAGAAGGCAAGTGGTTGCCACAAGGAAAGAAAATACCATGTTCGATTTTTATCTACAAAGTTAAAGGAATCTTCACTCCCTGTGGTATTTTTATTTCTTTTCTTGAAAGAAAAACAAATATATTATAGATTTCAAAATTATGTTTATACTCTATAAGCCAAATTCATATAGATGCTGTGATAAAACAAATGGAAACGATGTCCTGTCCAGTTTATTTCCGGAACTAGGTCTGTTACTCTTTAATTCATTTCTCCACAGATAATGAGGAAAGATGCATGAAAAGATACAGAAGAGAAGAAAAGTGGAGGAACAGATGAGGGCTTGTCTTACCGTCAATAACTCGTCAGGATCAAAAAGGTGATGGGTAGTTCTTTGTAATATATTAATAATGTCACCAACCTGATGCGTTAGAAGCAACTCCTCTTCCTTCATCTGCAAAAGCAAATCAAAACTTAAATTAGATCCCATGGTATTGTTTTGACAACCAGGTGATTTTTAGGAATACAAATTGAAGAAAATTTCCAAATAGAGCGGAATGTGAAGAGCCAAATGGCAGCAATGAAATTGGCACCTTAAATATAGCCAAAGCTACATGAAAAAGAACCTTGGCACCCTCATAGAAAAGGACATCCCACACCCGTAGAGTTGTCTGGACAAATAGCCCAACAAAGAGTAAAATAAGATAGTCAGAAAGCAACCTCAAATAAAATTGATATTTGACACCATCTGCTAAAAGCAAATGAGAGATGCTAGCAGGAGGGACGTGGCAATGAAATATTCTTGACCTTGAGCATTAGCTCAAATTGTCATGTCCCCACCTTTAAGGTGGGAGGTACCGCAGGTTTAGAGTTCAAATCCCAAAACTTGCAATCCCTTCCCCTTCACCAGACCATAGCTTCCTTTTTTACAAAAAAAATATATATATTATTCAAACCTCTGAAGGCAAGCTTTTAGAAAAGAGGCACAGGAACCACTCAGTAGCTACAAGGGAGACATCAAACTCCAATGCTTCCAAATGAGTAGCAATCCTGCATTTTTGTTTATCCAATTTTTAATAAGATAAACCACGATTTTAACATATAGCTGAAACATATTAATTTATCCACAAATAAATAAATAAAATAGTTTAATCCTTAACAGAATACCTTGGGCACTTCTTAGCAAGCAAATCTTTAAAAACCCTTTGCTCAACATGGCATCCAGATAAGTTATTTGTATAGCAGTCATTAACTAAAACATTCTCAAGAAGGACGGCAAGCATCCAAAATGCATCTTCCTCTGTTTTCATAACAAGCAATAGCAATGCAGCAACATAATTTAAGCCCTACACCAAGAATAAATTTTGTCTTTATTATATTACAATTAGATGAAGAACTTAGAAACGTGATTACTTAAAAAATCAAAGCAAGAAGTACTAACAGTTAGTAATAGTAGGGAGAAATTAATTTCAGTGACTGAACAAGTTATCCATGAGGAGAAATCCACCTCAAATTGATATGTTAAAAGGAAAGCGAAGAAGCAAAGATGAAACCAATCACAGCATGCTTCAAAAAGTGCACATCAAATTAGTTCAGCACAAGAGAGATTTCTCATTTCGTACACATCATTTAAACTTGCACATCAAATTTGGTACAAATGATTAGTAACCAAAAGTAAGTAAGTAAACCTCTGAAATAATAAAGTTTGATTAGGGTTCAAAAATTCAGTCACTGTAAATAAAGAGAACTGATAAAGACAAGGACAAAAATACAGAAATGGAAAAGTTTTATTTCCTCTTCACCAGGTTATGGCAGATTGACATAAAATGCAGAAACAAGATTTAACTATCAAACTTAAATAAATAAACAACTTTGGCTATATTAATCTTGCACTGCTTGGCCAAAAAAAACTAGCACCACAAAACAAGTATAGCTCCATGGCCACAATCATATAACAGAATTGCATAAGAGGGCATTCTCACATTGTTGAAGCCATAAAAACAGCATTGCCTTGTTAACTTTCAACATAGACTAAAAAACAGACTGATGGTTATAAGACAAACATGATTCAACCCCAGCCCACCTACCAAAAGGGAAAGAAATCCTTCAAGGCAGAAACAGCAAACCAGAAAACGGCGTCTTTTTTACACAACAAATAAAGAAGGGCTGGACATATTTGTATCATATTCTGTCCTTTCAATGCCCATGGTACTTAGAGGCTGATAAAATGCTGTAAGACAAGCACTACTGTTGATGAACTCACCTGACAGTAGCCTACATCAGAATCACGAAAAGAATAACCTACAAGCACACGCCGGAGTGCTGCATGGCCCTCTGGAGTGTCCAACCATGGATGACCAGGGAAGGTTCGTGGAAGGTCCTGCAAGTATATAAGAGAAAGGCTCAAACCAAATTGCATAATTTAAAAGAAATGCAGTACCATAAGAGATATAGAGACTATAATTCACTTCATCTACTAAACTTGCACAAAAGTCACTATTCCAGTTTATATCCAATCAACAATTTTGTGTCAGACCTTCACATTCATTGGAATTTTCACAAGTACTTTTAAAAAATACACTTGTCAATTCTTCTGTTTCTGATTCAATTGGTTCAGATGGCACAGCACAACCTTGCCTGCACACATCTAAGGAGGAAAGTTCACATGCACTAGCCTAAAAGAAAAGAACATGAAGAACTTTCCGCTCTGTCTAGGTTGTATTGAAATTTTAGCACCGAGAACTTTACTCCACAGACACAGATTATCAAGTGCATTGGGTAAATCTTGGATCTTAGTCCAGGCATATGTATATATCTTCACTGATAAACTTATATTAGTTTATGTGTAATTATTGCTGAGAAACAAGGAAAACTGAAATCGCTAAGATGCTTCCAATAAGATTGTCAAATTTAATAAAACATTTACCCTCATTGATATAACTTCTAATTCGGCATCTTCAACGGCACAAGTTTTGGATTCCAACCTCTTGAGATTTCATTAGAAAATAAACCCTTTTGTCAACAGATCAAAACCTTCTCATGTGGTGATTTCTCAAACTCGACTACTTCTTTTAAATCATGCAATAGAAAAGAATATTAAGTGAATTACATCTCAAAACCCCAAATTAAACCTATGCAATCATCCTTGCAATTAGGTCTCCATCAGATATGTATTTTCATTTCCAAATTCATTATGCAAAATTAACCGAACCTCTAGAAAAAGACCAGACAAACATCACATCCAAAAGCCATCAATCAAAACAAAGATCCAAATAAAATTAAAAAAAAAAAAAAGCACCAAAAATTCAATCAAGCAAATACAAAACACCCTTAATGCAGGAACTTACATGATCAATCTGCCTCGTAGCAGGTGTGACCTTACCCTCCACCGCCTTTGTCAAATCATTATAATAGCTTTCAGGAACCGTAGACTTCTTCTTGGCAGCACCCGAAAGCGAAAACCAAACCTTAGGCCTAAGCACAGGGGGTATACCTTTCCTAATAAGCTTCTTCAATGTAATTGCATTAGCCAAAGCTGACAATTTAAGTGAAGATTTCAACACAATTCCTTCAGATATTGAAGAAACCTGTGGCTGCAAATACCAATTGGCCCCTTTGCTTGCTTCAAGTGCCCACCAAACACGCCCTTGTTGCCTTACCTTTTCTCTTACCTCATTCAACACATTAACATCATCCACATTGCCTTCTACCGTGAACCCATAAAGGTCTTGGAATTTCACTGTTAGATTTGCCCTTCTTGCATGGATGCTTGGCCTTAAGATTGGAATTTGTGCCTGCAATTCCAAGGCAAGGTCCCTTTTGCTTTGGGTACCAAACATTTTCTTTTTTTTTTCTTTTTGATAGATCAAGAGAAAAGAAGAAATGGCTTATAAGGGCTTTGTCAAAAATGAGAGAAAGCTATAAGCTTTGAACCATGAAAAGGTCAATTTTTTCAAGCTCCCAAGCTTGGAAATTTGAAGAATGGCTGAGTCTTGCAAATGGGTTTTATTTAAAGAAACTGATAAGAGAACGAGTTACAAACAAGACAAAGAAAAAGCTCGCACTTTTGGATATGGCTAATTGAAAGTTCTTTTTTCATATTATAATAATAAAAATTTTGAAAATCGAAAATCGAATTATTTCAAAAACCCAGAACAGTAAAAGCTTTAAAAAATTTACAAAAAAAAGAAAAGTAAAGCCCAGATAACAGATTTTTTTTTGTTCCGCAATTAGAGAGATAAACGCAAAACAAAAAATTCTAAAAAAAGCAGTAAAATTCTTTTTTTTTCTTTTTTTTTTCGAAGGAAATGGATGACTCAAAGAGAAGAAAAGGAGGAGAATTTATTGGTAGGTAAAAATCAAAGCTTGAAAATATGTAGAAAATTAGGAGGTGTGAGGTGGGTTCATCTTCATCTCTCTTCTTCCTCCTCAGCAAAAATCACTCCAACTCATCTGATAACAATTATCAGTTTACACACCAAAAAATCAATCAAAAATACAATTAATGCTTCTTTTTTAAACAGTTTTTGTTTCTAAAAATACAATTATTGGAACGTTAGAGTGAGAGACAGAGACGTTAACCAGAGCATTGATAGGACATGCTGCAGTGGTTTGGTTGAGCGTTGAAAATCAATCTAACTATTTTTCTGATGGACTAAAATACCCCTTTGTTTTTAATTAATTCCTGACATAAATTCAATCAAAAATTTATAAATATAATATATGTTTGAATTTCTTTTAGTAATTTTTAAATATCGATTGATTATGAAATAGATAAAAATATTAAATATAAAATAGTGATAATGCATATAAATAAATATTTTAAATTCATATAATTATGTTCCTTTTTAATCATATTTGAATTTAATTGTTTCTTACTTATTATGATAATTTTTAAATATATACTGAATAAAAATTCTAAACCAAGTTAATTACTTTATTTATGAAATTGATTTGATATAAATATAATTAATTTATATAATATACCTTATGTAAATCCTATTGTAAAGTAAATACTTTTATTTTTATTTACTTTAAATATTAGTTATTATATATACAAATGTTTAATATGGTTACCTTTTAGAAATTTAATAAATAAAGAATTTCTAAAATGCAAATAATTTTTTTATTGAAGTGATTCAATAAAAGTAAAATTCGTATATATGCATAAGATAAATCTTTTTTATAATTTATTACTTTTAATTATTATTATTATTATTAAATATTATAATCAACAAAATTGTTTAAAAATGTAAATTTAAAACTAAAATGAATAAAAATATCCTTCTTTTTGCCATAAAATTTTTTATATATTCATCCTGTTTGTTACTATTTTTTTCTAGAGTTTTATTATAAGATTAAAATTTTTATTGGATATTGAATATAATAATAATAAATATAAATACAAATTTTTTAATTCTTGTTTTATATTTTCTCATTATATTAGAAATGAATTTTTACTTTTTAATTTAATATGACCATAATTCAAATATATAATGAACAGAGAATTCAAAAGCAAGTAAATCATGTTGTAATGAAAGTTATTTAATGAAATTAGAATTATTATCTATAATTGGATAAATGTTATTAATATTAATTTATAATTATAATTTAAAATGATAATAAAAAAATATTTGAATTGGTAATTTTAAAATATAACTAGTAAATGTATATAGTTATAAAAGGAGTAAATATAAATATATTTATTTTCAATTATCAAAATTTTATGCACGTCAGTTTTATGAAATTATAGATTATAAATTATGATCATATTTGGTGAATATGATGATGGATAAAATAGGTTAATAATTAACTTATATTATATTATATTTTTATTTAAAATATATATAATTATAAAAAAATTAATTATTCTCTTAATATAAGATAATTTAATTTTTTTAAAATTAAAAATATTATTTTTAATTCAAAACTTTGAACTTATATATCTTATTAAACCTTTAAAAATCACATCAATAATTTAAATTATATAAAATTTTAAAATTTTATTAATAAATAAATAATTTTATTTTAATTTTTATATACATTAAACATAAGATAAATAATATTATTTAATATAATCATACTTAAAATATTATTTTATCTTAGTTTATTATAATTTTATATACCAAATATACTCTTTAAATATAAATATAAATTATAGATTATAAATAAATAAGTGTTTTGAGTACTTTTTAAGATCTTTTTCTTTTTCTTTTTTTCAATTGCAAAATATTGGAGGGGCAATGTTGGCATAAAAAAGAATGTGGACGCGTTTTGGTGAATACATATATACAACAAAGTGGGGACAGGGCAGGGCCAGGCAGCCAAAGGAAATGAAGGCTAACGACGTCAATAGCTTTACTCTTACACCTACACTCAGCGAGGGTGACCCACTTCAAAAATGATTGCTCGAAGTTGTGGCGAGCTGGCAAAACTGTGGGTTTCCCCGCAGCCCGCGAAAATGGAAGCTCTCACGTGCCACTTTGTGTCTAAAACTGTATTCTTAAGATAACGTGTCCATGTCCTTTTTCTTCTTTTCGTTTTTGTAAGGCTTTGACCCTTCTTATTAAAAACAAATGATATTCTCAATCTTTGAATTGCAGGCTTTGCATTCTCCTCACAAATGGGACAATTGGAACATTTTTGTGTTTTATTTTAGATTTTGGCGTGATTCAAGGCAATGGCTTCCACCAACAAAATTGGGCCGCTCAATTTTTTTATTTTTTTACAAAATTCACATCTAATTTTTTTATTGATTAGTGAACCAAGATCTCATTCGCATGGCACCTAACATTTTGTTTTTAATTCCACGTTTTAAGCCAAGTTGTTATGTATTTATTTACAAAGAAAATTATAGAAAACTTAATAACTATGGATAAGATGTCCATGTTTATATTTTTTAAAAACGAATTAGTTTAAATATAAAAAAAAATTATTAAAAAAAAGGTTTAATTTTTTTTTACTATATATATATATATATATTATCAGCAATTGCCTGAACTATAATACTAGAAAATGATGATCTTCAGAAGACTAGGCCCATCCTTATCCTCCCAGCCAGGTGCGCTCAATGAGGCACCTGTTTCATCTAGACAATGCCAATTCCAGGGATTTAGGGCCATAACCATGGACGTAAATGGTTTGGCCAGCACCTTTTGAATGATATGGTTGGGCTAACATGTATTGTCTCACTTGTGGTTTGTGTGCTGCGTCTTTGCTTTTATTGAGCTTAATTTAAGCACCCAGTGTGCCAAGAAAGAAAAACAAAAACAATGTACTCTATATATCTTTACATTGTAAACATCTATGTTGCTGATCACATTTTCGATACTCTTAACCTCTCTAATTAACTTTGGCACAATTTATTTTTGCATCAGCAAAACCATTAACTGAAACCGTTGGATAAAATATTTCACACACGACAATACCCAATCCTATGAGGGTAAGCCTATTGCCACTCATGATTTGGTTACTTCCACGTATACCCAAAGTAAAGTCATCACAATTATATTCATACTGAATTAATAAAAAATATATATTATAAAAAATTTTAAAAAATATTTAATATACTGATAACGAAATTTTTTAACTTTATAAATCAAATTAGAATTATAATACATATTTTTTAAAAATATATAAAATATATATGTCATTATCTTAATTTTGCTTGTGAAATTAAAATATTTTACTATTAATATATTTGATAATTTCTCAAAAATTTATATATCTTCCAAATCTTTTAATCCCACTCATAAGATAATTAGTTAATTTAAATCATTATGATGAAATTCAATATTCATCCTTAAGAAAACGATTGAATCAATTATCTCTAAGTAAATTATTTTAAGAGTCCAACATTATCCAATCACACATATTGAGAAAGCTATCCTTTCACTCTCTTAAACCCTTCGAAAGCCAAATTCATTCATGTTAATAAATTGCACGACCGTGAGTTCATTTGAATTTTGAAGACTTTATGCTAAGAACTTGTTAAAAAAAACATTAATTCTAAAAATAAGTGTGATAATGATTTAAATTAAATTAAATTTGATTTAAAATTTTTGGATAATATATAATATTATAAAATTTTAAATTTGAACTGATTTTCTTTTAAACTAATTCAATTTTAATAAAAATTTTATAGATTTGATTCAATTTATTAATTTTAAATTTTTTATATATTTTTTAATATAATTAAATAAGTGTATATAAAAATAATTAGTTTTATTTTATGAAAATTTAAAAAATATATAAATTATTCAATTTGATTTTTTTTTAATTTTACATATTTTGATCTAAAATTCAATTCAAATTAATATATATGTTTAATATATAATTTTAATTTAAATTAAATAAAAAATCGATTCAAATTAAATTAAATATTATAATTTTAATTTTTTTTAATTTTTTTCCCATCCTACGAAGAAAAATAAAGTGTCTCCTATGCCCTGAATCTATTCCGTCACATCATACTAGATATCTCAAATCCACCATATGCCCCAGACCTATTTGATGTGATCACATCATGTTACCTGTCTCAAATCCATCGATAACCACACTTCAATCTTTATATTTATTGCATCTTGTGGTCCCAATTATATTATAGCTATAACGAGTTAACCTTAAATATACCGCATTGATGCAGTATCAAATACTTTTTCTTTCGCTCTCCTGCGGTCATCATGTCAACCCTGTCGGCGATGATGCATCGCACTGATTTCACCGATGGCGTCCATCTGTTATTTTTTTCTCTGCCTACTTATTTGAAAAAGAAAATTAATTTGAGAGTCAATAATTAAATACCACGTGGCACTCAATCGGCTGTCAAGAAAGAGCTAATCACGGGCAATCGGTCCCGTTTTTTATGTATAGAGCATAAAATAAATGTACGATGAATTAATGATATTGATTAAAAACTACATCAAAAATCTTGTACAACGCCCATAATAGATAGTAAAAATGTTCATTAATAGAGTTAGACTGAGTCTAAATTTAATATTAATAATTTATATATTTATTTAAATTTAGTTTGATTGAATATTTTGTCTTAAAATTTTTTAAGTTGACCCAAATTGAAATAATATATCTTAAGTTTATTTATTAAATTTAATTTATATAATAAAAAATTTAAAAATTTAAAAAATTCTTTTTTTTAATTT